TGTGCATAAGGAAACTGGATGTAATTAAGACCAAGTATTAGTTGGCATACAGAGACAGGCAGAGTGCATGTTTGCTGCTGCTACCTCCTCCCTTTCCCAGCTATCAATGTTTGTTAAGGACACTGTCTGCTTCACAGCCAATAGCCTCCTGACCACTAATGACACTAGTGACACTTATTAGGAAGCTGAGACACTAATTCTCAATCTGGTCTTCTCTCTCCCTATTATCAACAGCGGGCAGTGGGCAGATTCTTTAGCAAATAGCAGGCTGTCTATAGACTAAGGATCTGCCTGCTGTCAAACACAAGGAGAGCACACATGATGGAGAACTAGTGTTTGTAAATCCCCTTCAGGATCTGCCCACCCAGCTTCAAAACTCTGTGCCACTGAGCTATCAGTATGGATGCTCCAGCCTCAGTGCACCTCCACACTCTGAGCATGCCCCAGATTCATGTACCCATATACAATAGGTACATGAATCTGTTGCCCACACTTACATTTGTTAAATTAGTAAGTTATATCAAGTGCAAGTTGTTCTTTTGCAACTCTCTCAGACTATTAGAGAACATTGACAGGCTCATCCATTATTTATTATGTGTTGTGTAGTTTCCATTGTTTTCCAAAGATCGGTACCATATGGTTCCAAGTAATTTCTTGTACTTTTCAATCTGCCTTGTCTGTTACAGGCTGTAAAAGTTAATATTTGTGTTATTCAGTAATATATAGCAAACAACAATTTGGCAAAGAATAAGTGCGCATATTTCCAGAGCACACTTTGTGTGAAAACCGTATACTCTCCATAACTCAAATGCAGACACATACAGATCTCAATGTCACAGAATAAGACAGTGCACCTTCACAACCTGCCACTGCACTTATATTCTACCATTACATTCACATCCAGGCATTAGCCTTAGTGTAAAATGGACCACTCCCACGTGAGAGACTCCATGACCAATGCCAATGCACAGACTGACTGGCGGAACAGAAGTGCAATGACAGGCTAGGCATATTATAAGGCCCTGTGCAGCCTGGTATTATGATCTGTATGCATTGAATCTAGCTATAGGTTTAATTAAGGTTTGGTGTTAGCCACGTAGGAGGTACTGGTGATAACTTGTGCTTCCCTGAAAGTTCAGAGGTTGCCCACCACTGCAAGCACCAGTCCATTCAAACCAGCTCCAATAATACAGTCCAGGGGATGTCTTTTTAGTATTTATTGCTTTGAAAACCTTAACAGGTGAGGAATTTAGGGGTCGTAGGATACTCCAAAATGATCAATAGGAATAAAGGGAAAACAAACTTCTCAGTAATCTTCTTATAGCAGCTCTTCCTGAAGGTGACCTGGAATGGCCAGTATATCTAGGATTCTATCTATCAGAGCAGCCCCAGCTCATGTAGCAATCTCTGGTTCCTAGATCCCTTCTAGCACAAGCACATCCAAAGACAACAGCAAGGTCTTTACTCACAATGTCCTTGGAGCTGTCTGCCACCCAGCCTCCACAGGTAGATCCTCAATAAGGGAGATAATAAGATCATTCTCCAGACCCAGGACATCAGAACAGTGCCCCCAGCAAATACTAATTTAGTAATCTTCCCTGGGCACTCAGCACAGCTCCTGCTGAGACCCAGACTGCAATCTCCTATTTCAGAAACTCTCTCTTAGAGGCAGCAACCCCCTAGGAGACAGGAACAATCTGTGAAGAGGAAAGACACTCATCCAGAGTTTCCTGAACATTTATCAGCTACCGGGCATCCTTCTGGACTCCTCCTTCCAGGGATTGGCTGGGGCATAATAAATATTCATACTGGTCATCTGCACTTATCTGCACTATATTCTGTTAGCTTCTTCCAAAGACAGGTGGGAGAAATCAAACACCCCACTTTGGAATCCCTGAACAGACAAAAGCAATCAATCACTGCTCCACCCACCACAGTGAAGCCAAAACTTAGTTTACAGAGCAGCCTAACTAGGAGAGTGCTGAAAAGGTTTCCATGGGGAAGGCGAGGGAGGATGTTCCAGACAAGGGGAATTAATTTTAAAATGTATCTATGCTTTAAAGTTTACCATCAGCCAAAGCTTGTTATTTCTAGAGTCTCATAGAGTGGGGAAAGATTAGAAGCCCTATCAGATTTTAATTCCTGTCTATTTCTCTTTCTCTTTTGGGGAGATCTAAGCTCACATTGCCTTTGGGACTATTGTCACCAAGAGAAAAAGTGGATATAAACCAAAATTTTACAATTTGTCCCCAGAGCAGAAGTATAGGAGAAATGTTCCTTCTTTGGTTTTGGTTTTTGTGGGAATAGGAAATAGAGGGAAGTCTACTTAATGGAGACACAAACAGCAATATAACCCCAACAGAAGTTCTGGCCTTTTTCTAGTCTATAAGCCCTAACTGCATCCAGTTAACAACCAGTTAACAAATCTTTATGATACACTGCTTTTGCAAACTACATGTCATCACATTTAGTTTGCAAAAGCACTGTATCATAAAGAGTTGCCCTTTTCATCCGATGATGCATCCATGTGCTGCTTATCTACTAGAGCCTTTTAGAGCATACAAAACTGTATATGCATACATGCTAGGGTCAATTTAGACATGAGCCAAATCACCTATCAGCATGTCTTTTTAGTGTGGAAGGAAACCAGAGTACTAAGAAGAAATCCTTGCACAGTGAGAGCATGCAAACTCCATGCAGGTAGTGTCCTGGTTTTTGTAGCCACATCCTGTCTACATGCAGACCAATGATGACTGCATTGCATTTCCATGTCTGTATAATGTGTGTTAAACAACCACCTATACTCTCCATCATAACCCCATGTAATAGGGCAACAACACAATAGCACAACTGTGAGACAGGGACAGAACATTGTTCCCCATATATCAGCCTGCATAAGCCTTCATGTCACATCATTGGGCATGAAGGCAAAATATTGAACTTTTTGCCTAACTGGAATTCATCTTTAATGAAAGCTGCAGATTTAAAAATAATGACTTTTAAATTGCCAGAAACATTTTAGTGATTGGGTTGGCATATACTTTAACTTTGAATTGGTCTTATATAAGTATTGCATAGCACAAGTGCGCAGGCATATTACTTTGCAAACCTGCTGTAAGATTTAATGATTGTTAAATGCTTTCCTGTATTCTCAGAAACAGATGGTTTACAAGCAGAGAACAAACAGCAAGAGACTGACCCTTAGAAGGAAATTTCATCTGTGAATTCTATGTACACTTTCATGTGGAATGTCTTCATAAGTTCCACAGTTCAAAAAGTTTCCTAATTTATTACAAGTGTTTAGACATCTGAAAAACATTCTAACGGCAAATGTCTGATCAAAACTACTGAAATAAAATAAAATAACAGTAAAATAAGTATTGTCACATTTAAGAGACTTATTGGTGTAATTGAGATGAAAAGTCTATGAACAATCCCCACCTCAAACAAGAGTCCTGTTAAAATGTTGTATATTAATTGTATATTAATGGCTGCAATTTTCACCAAAACAAAACTGGTGCAGCACTGTAAATAATTGTACTTAATAAAGTAATAATAAAATAATATGGATGATAGAGCTATTTAAAACTTCACCTTCTTTATCTATATCTTTCATACATAACTATTAAAACATCTTCTTGTGATTATTTGTAAACACAATATTATAAGGTGATATCAATAAAGTGTGCCATAACTCCAGTCCACATATCTTGCTTTGTGTGAAAATGTACATAAAAGTGTGTTCTTTAAAGTGCTTTCAATAAAGTCCTTCTTCTAAAGAAGTGCTTCACTTCACTCCAAGAAAGTGATCGTGCATCAAACGCCTCTCACCTCACCATTAGTGAGGAAGACTCACCAGATATTGTGAAACCCCTATTGGAATAAGAAGGTCTCAAGAGCTTTAATGCAGGCTTCAGAATTTTCCCATGCAATTGTGTTAGAAATTCTGTATATACAGTACAGACAGTGCACAGTCCACATGTGCTTTTCTGCTTCACTGCAAGAAGGATGCAAAAACCTTTATTCAGATAAAAGATATCGAGTATACCATAGATGAAGCTACAAATGTATAAACACTAGTTGTTGCGCAAAATACATGAACACTGTATTCCAACACCCCCACTCAACAATTATTCCTTATATTAGTCCCATTTCAGATTTCAGTTCTATAAATCTGTTTCTTGTAAGCAGTTTTGTCAAAGCATCTGCAGTTGTGTTATTAGCTTCACAATATGTAAGCACAATTACATTTTGTGCAACCAGATCATGAATGTAATGATGTATGACGTCAGTATGCTTTGTTCTTGCATTGATCTTCTCATTGGTGGCAAGTTTGCTACATTCTTGACTGTCTTCATATAAAATTGTAGGCTGGGATATTGGCTCTCCAAGATCTTCAAGCAATTGGTGTAACCGCACAGCTTCTGACTGGCGTTGGCAGCAGAAATGTATTCTGCCTCTGTATGATACAAAGTAACTGAGATCTGATACTTGCTGGACCCAGATATAGGACTGTTTCCTAATTTGAACAAGTAACCACTTGTGGATTTGTGAGTGCTTAGGTCACCTGTCCAATGCAAGTCCACATATCGTATGAGGTTCAAATCACCAACTGCAGACAGTGTCAGGCTCAAGTCTTTTGTTTGTTTGATATATCTCATGACTTTCTTGACTGATGTCCAGTCTTTTTTTTTTTTGTTAAATGATCTTTATTGAAGGCCATGCGCTGCTCCCATTAAAGTACTGGAAATCACTGTACAATAAACTTTGAAACACTGGCTGCATTTTCTAGTACAAAAAAAGAACTAAAAACATCTTCCGGAATGTCGAGAAAAACAGTCCAACTTAAATAGTGAAAAAAGTGCACTACAGTCGCTGCCATGCAGCGGACATTAACTCTCTCCTGTAGAGACTTCTTAAATAGCTATCCTGTTCCTTGAAAAACACAATATAAAGAGCAAATATGGGAAAATAAAATAAAGACACTAGACTGTGCGTGTTTATTGTGTGTAGGCTGCCGGCATAGGATAACCTATCAGGGCAGGAGCTGTTGTGGTGGCAGTGGCGACTGGGTATGCTGTGTACGCCTGTTGCGCCATCCCATTCTGCATGGCTGTGGCGTATTGCTGTCCGGCATTGTAGTTCTGGTAGGCGCCATTCTGCTATGGGCTGCCCCTGTAACCTCCTTGGTTGGCTCCGACACCGTAGCCGTTCCCTGTAGGCGTTACCGTTGCTGTACTGCTGACCCCCAAAGCCATTCTGGGGCTTGTTTCCAAAGTCTCTCTTAGCACCAAACCCTCTGTTTTCCCGGTCCCACCCTCCCGCTTGCCTGAAGAGAACCTGTCACGGCGGTCGTTCATTCCTCCGCGGCCTCTGAAGCGCCCTCCTCTGTCCTCAATCATCTGGAGAAGTTTGGGATTGATTGTCTGGTTGGCCTCCCTCAGCACAGAGATCAAGTCGTTGACCTGTTTGGCATTGTTTGGTGTGAAGAAGGTGTAGGCTGTGCCAGTGTTGGTGCTGCGGGCCGTGTGGCCGATACGGTGGATGTAATCCTCAGAGCAGTTTGGATAGTCGTAGTTGATGACAAATTTAACATCTTCCACATCTAGACTGCGGGATGCCACGTCCGTGGCAATGAGGATTGGTGACTTACCATGCTTGAACTCATTTAATACCCAGTCTCTCTCCTGCTGGCTTTTGTCACCATGTATCCCCATTGTGGGCCACCCATCTCTACGTAATCTCCTTGTGAGGTCATCACAACGCCTTTTTGTCTCCACAAAGACAATGGTCTTGTTTTCCTTCTCGCTCATGATCTCCTCCATCAGACGGACAAGCTTGTCATCCTTCTCTCCATCGTTGCAGACATCGACTATCTGAAGAATGTTGTGGTTGGCGCTCAGTTCCAGTGCACCGATGTTAATGTGTACATAGTCCTTTAGGAAGTCCTCAGCAAGCTGTCTGACTTCTCTGGGCCAAGTGGCAATCCACATCAGGGTCTGTCTGTCAGGTCTAATCTGCTCCACAATCATCCTGATCTGAGGCTCAAAGCCCATATCAAGCATTCTGTCTGCTTCATCAAGTACCAAGTATGTGCACCGGTCCAGGTTGGTCTTTCCAGCTTCCAGGAAGTCAATAAGTCGTCCGGGTGTCGCAATGCAAATTTCAACACCTCTTTCTAGGTCACGAAGTTGTGGTCCTTTGGGCGCTCCTCCATAAATACAGGTGGATCTTAAACGGCAAGCCCTGCCATACTCCGCTGCAACTTGCTGCGCTTGTTGCGCCAGTTCTCTGGTAGGTGCCAGCACCAGAAGAATTGGCCCATCTCCTCTCTGCAGGAATGGTTGGTGGTTGATGTGGACAATTCCAGGAAGAAGGTAAGAAAGTGTTTTTCCAGATCCTGTCATGGCGACGCCAACCATGTCCAGTCCGCTCAGAGCAACCGGCCAGCCCTGGCTCTGGATAGGTGTGGGCTCGGTAAAATTCTGGTGCCTGATCACTCCCATGAGGTTGTCAGGGAAGCTGGCTTCATGGAACTGAAACACAGGCTTGGGGCAGTTGTAGCCTCTGACGGTGATCTCTTTGCTCCTTCTGTATTGATCTATATCTTGCGGTGTACGCCGGGCTACGTCAGGGTGCTCTTGATAGAAGTTCTTCTCAAATTTCGGTAACATATCCAAGTTCCATTTCTTCTTGACAAGCCGCTCACCTGGGTTTCCATACTTGCCAGATGAACCATTTCTGTTTCCTCCAAATCTGGGTGCTCCTCCAAATCCGCGGGCTTGGTCATTGAATCCGGGCATGTTTGCGTGTCGTTGTATGTTCAGCTTTCAGAGCGGACGGAGGAGATGTGAGCGGCTCGCCGGCCGGTTAAATAGAGGATGTCCAGTCTTTTTGACATGGTTCACTCTACTCTACTCTGCAGCTGAGATGTCTGGACATGTGATGGTTGTGATATATAGTAATGCCCCCACTGCTTGTCTGTAGGAAGAAGATCCTCATTCCCTTTCATTTTTAGGTATGCTGTGTCCATGGGAGTACTTGTTTCTTTGGCTTCAGTCATGCCAAACTGCTGAAACACTTCCTCACTTTTCAATTTCTGATTTAACAGTATGCTGCCATCTTCCAGGCACACCCTGGAAATGGTGTGTAGTCACTGACTGTAAAAATCAATACCAAGCTTAAACCCAAAGTTTGTTTTAACACCTTGTATGCTAGGATGTTTATAAATGTACCTTGATGAACAGGGGATTAAACAAATATTTTTTGCCTATACTTACAATTACTGTTTTGACACTTCCTGGCTTCTTGGGGCACTGGTGATGTCATCCTGGCATCACAGCTGCATCCTGTGAAACTCCTGTCACATGATCCAGGAGGCAGACCAAGAGTTCCAGGAAGTAAAGGGAGATGGATTCATCTGACCTTTTTAACCACTTGCCACCCGGCCTATTATCAAATGACGGCCGGGCGAACATTTCGTCCCTCCAGGAGGGCGTCATATGATGTCCATCCTGGATTGCACTTTGCGCGTGCCCGTAGGACCGCGTTGTGGCGAGATCTGTCACCGTCCGTGTACCTCGGACACGGCCAATGACAGATCTGTGTACTGACCACATTGTATACAACTGTGTCTAGCTGTGAATGGTCATAGCGATCATATGCACAGGCTGGGCCATTCACAGCCCATCTGTGTCATGTGATTAGCCGTGGCCAATCACAGCTAATAACAACAAAAAGAAACCTGAATTAATCATGATTTCATTCAGTTAAATGCTTGCTTATAGCAAAGAAATAATTTGCTATAAGCAATCAAATGGTGTAAAAACTACTTTGGTCATGTGCAATATGAAAAAAAAATCTTAATAAAAGAGAAAAAATTTAATAACAAATAAAAAAAATAATAAAAAGCAATCTTTTTTTTTTTCGTACGGTCACCAGTCAGTGTCTCTAATCACTACCACACCAGTTATATGCTGATGCTGTACTGCACTGGTGACAGTATATAAAAAAAAATTGTGAAAATAATTGTTTTAATTTCTTCATTTTTTGAACAATTATGACAAAAAAATTACAACTTCAAAAAACTCGCCATGCCTCTTATGAAATACGTCGGACTGTCTACTTTGCAAAAAGGGGTCATTTGGGGGATATCTGTACTGTTCTGACATTTTTAAGCCTCAAGAAATTAGATTGGCTGTCAGTACTTCAGGATTGATCAATTTTCAGATATAATCCTATAGTTTGTGAACTCTATAACTTTCCTATAGACTAAATAATAAATACTGATTTGGGTTATTTTCACCAAGGAAATGTATCAGAATAAATCTTGGCCTAAATTTATGAAGAACAATTATTTATTTGCAAACTTTTATAACAGAAACAAAGAAAACTAAATTAACAAAAAAAAAATGTAATTAAAAAAAAAACACATTTTTTTATTTCATTTTTTTTGTTAATTTAGCAAAAAATAAAAGCCCCAGTGGTGATTAAATACCACCAAAAGAAAGCTCTAGTTGTGTGAACAAAATGCTAAAATTTTAGTTTGGGTACAGCGTTGCATGACCACGCAATTGTCATTCAAAGTGTGAAAGTGCTGAAACCTGAAAATTGGCCTGGGCAGGAAGGGGGTAAAAGTGTCTGGTATTAAAGTGGTTAAAAAACATGGTCACCATGAGAAGAATGGGGAGGCAGAGATATCATTCATCCTGGTAGGCTCTAAAACCATCTGATATGGGAGCTTACCCAGAGTGGACTCCTGCAGTGGGAAATTGCAAGGGAGCATAGGTCACTGAGCTTTCCTTTATGAGGTGGGGGTCACTTTGCCCTTAGTTTAAAAGGACAGGAATGCTGGGCAAAGTATTGCATCTCATATTAACCAATGTGATCTAGGTCAATTAAACTAATAGCAGAGAAACAAAAGAGGGCACTTCTAAGCGCAACAGAAACCAAATGTATTAATAAAAGAGGATATATCCAGATCCAGGCAGTGTGGAAGAACATCCAGCTAAGCAGAACACTGAACCACTGTGGAGAATGGAAGCCAAGGCATGGAAGCCAAACGGTCTAAGGTTTGACAGCAAGGGAACTTCAGCTGTGACCTCAGACTCCTGGGGTGTAGCTATGAATATTAAGGCTCTTTTATTAATAAACATGTTTTCTGCTGCTACTTAGAAACGTCCTCTTGTGTTCTGCTGTATTTCAGATATCTCTCTATCTGTGGAGGAGCTGCTCTAAGGACTTTTTTCGTTACTACATTTGGTGCTGTCAGCCTGGGGCCTACTAATGTTTTTTGCGCAATGACAAATTATTACTACTAATTAAAATAATAGTTAAAATAACATTTCTAATTAGTGGTTGTTGGTTTCTACACTCACTTTGCCTTGTGACTTCAACTTAATAGCTTGCCTACTGAACTAGATTCTACCCATAATGTTTAAAATATTTCACAGAAAGCTCCAGATTTACTTTTGTTCTGATTAATTTTGTTATACAGTTTTCCCCTTCCATCTCTCAAGTAAAATACTTTATGGAACTAGAACACTGTTGATGTAATAACAACCACATGTTTGAATCTATTGCATTTTCAACAACAGTATACATTTAATTGAAAACATACAAACATATGTACCCTGATTGTAATATTGACCTATTTGTGTTTTCAATTAATCCAATTACAGAAACCTGACCCAAAGGATCAAAATCTCTGAGTGACCCAGCAAACAGATGAGGGACCACATTTTAATATGCCTTACTGCAGAATTATTTACACCAGGGATTAGCGTATAGCACATTTTTCAAAGGACAGACAGAACATATGTTATATTTATGGAAAATGCTCCACTTTTTTTGCATCTGTTGCTCTTCTGGAGAAAAAAATGAAAGTGATCAATCACTCAAAGCATTAGTTTCCAAAAGTGTCACCTATAGCTGGAGTCGATTGGGCTGTATTACCTGCAACACGAAAATTTCCTTAGAAAGTGAACAAACTATTTTTCATTAGCAAATCAACCCTTTTGCTTCTATATGATATAAGTAGACACAGGTTGATTCAGTTTACCACTAGCTTACCACTATCTATTTGTAGCACTATCCCCTGAGTTTTGGGTCCCCCATGTAGTCCTGCACAGCCAGGCAACATGTATTTTCTTCAGACCTTGCACACTGGAGACAGTAAACAGTCCTTGAACTTGTTTCGTGTTTTGTTTTATTAAGGGGAATTGATCTTAGGGATGAGGGGTGTACGGGATGCCCAGGGAAACTGCAACTTGAGGACAACTCCTTAGCAACTATGTACAGGTCCACAGACAAAAGGTTCTCTTCTTGGAGGGTTCGCCAGCCTTCCTGGTGTACCACCTCAGAACCCAGATGAATTCTCCTCCTCATCCAGCTGCCTGAGGGAATACATGAGCAAGGGGACCCAGAAACTGCCTCTTTAGCGAAGCAGCTCCAGATGAGGAGCTAGTTGGATTGGCCACTGTAGTATATTGTGTGTAGTATATATATAACGGTTGATGGGCTGTGAGATCCTGCCTTCCAGCTTCTGCCAGCAAGTAGGTCCCCTCTCCTGGGCACCCTCCCAGGCTCCACACTCCAGCCTCCACTCCATCTTCCACCCGACACTGACCACTTCTTGATCAGGCTCTCCCATGCCAAGCCTCCTGCTTGAGGATTGGTCAGAGTCACTTGAGTATGCAGATCAGCCCCTCCCTCAGCCCCATCCACTGCCTTCTAGAAACTTCTCAAGCTTCTAGAGCAGGTACTCTAGAGCAGGGAACTGACCTGCAGAGCCCTCAGCCTTGCCCTAGAGTTACCTGGCTGGCTCATCCCAGGCTAACTCATACCAGGCTGCTATCCAACCTCTATCTAAAAAACCTATTTAGAGGCGCTATATTTTTAAAACTAAAATATAGTTTTTTTTAGTGAAATGAGCCTTTAAAAGCAACAACTGGGATCTCTAACCAGAAAGTGCTGCCTGCTCACTCTTTTACTACCTTTGTCTAACTAATAATGCACATGGGTCTGTAGGAGCTTGTAAGTACGATCTGTTCTTTCTCTGACTTACTTAGCTATGCATGTACAGACCTAGATAACCCAGCATATCAAAATATCATGTTACACAGGCTATTCATAACAAAGCAATAAATGATTGTGCAAAATTGGTAGAGAACATCTTTGAGTGCACCACCTGATGAATGTAATTGGCAGGGGCGGACTGACAACTCATAGGCCCCTGGGCAATAGGGGATCATGGGGCCCCTGTGTCCTTGCCCAAACTAGGGGATCATGGGGCCCCCTGTGTCCTTGCCAAACTCAAAAAAAAGCCTATGAAAAAGGTACCAGGGGCATCTCATGGGGCCCCCTACTGACCCCGGGCCTTCGGGCAGTGCCCGAGTTTTCAAATGGTCAGTCCGCCCCTGGTAAGTGGTAAATATAACATTTTTATATGCAACAAAATGATCAAAATCTCAATGAACATACATCAAACCCATTGCATCCTGTAAATGATTTCCATACTAATTCTAAACATCTAGCCACTAAAACCTAGGAAAATATTGAAAAAAATGGATAGCAGATACCCTTGTTTCAAAAGCAGACAGATGGCCCCAAAACTATCAAGGAAGGTGCCAAGTGTATAGCCAGCAAATCAATTAGAAGAAACCTCATAAACTCTGATCCTAAACTAACTCCTATCCTAATTCATTACCCCGATTTCTTGCTTTACTTAACCCCTGCAATGCCAAACTTGCCTTATCAGGCACCAGAGCTCTTTACGTTGAGATGTTGCAGTTTTTGTGCCAAA